AAACAATTCAACGAGTTGTTGTCGCAATTGAAGATTTCTAAAGCATTCAAATTAAATGACTTTATTGTTGAAATTGTAAGAACACTCTTTATAGATTGTATGAATTGAAATTACAATTTTAACAACAGCTATTTTCAGTTGGAAGATGAAACATCTTCCTAATGAAAATCACGGGCCGGTACGAACCATTCAACAACCAATTGTACGTTTGTATGTATGTTTGTTTGTTTGTATGTAGTTTGTTTGTTGTTTGTTGTTTGTACATCTGTTTATTTGTTTGTCTGTTTGTTCGATTGTTTGTTTGTTCGATTGTTTGTTTGTTTGTTTGTCTGTTTGTTCGATTGTTTGTTTGTTTGTTTGTTCATTTGTTTGTTCATTTGTTTGTTCATTTGTTTGTTTGTTTGTTTGTATGTATGTTTGTTCGATTGTTTGTTTGTCTGTCTGTCTGTCTGTCTGTCTGTTTGTTTGTTTGTTTGTTTGTTTGTTTGTTTGTCTGTTTGTTCGATTGTTTGTTTGTCTGTCTGTTTGTTCGATTGTTTGTTTGTTTGTTTGTTCATTTGTTTGTTCATTTGTTTGTTTGTTTGTTTGTTTGTCTGTTTGTTCGATTGTTTGTTTGTTCGTTTGTTTGTTTGTTCGATTGTTTGTTTGTTCGTTTGTTTGTTTGTTTGTTTGTTTGTTTTGTTTGTTACAGATGAATGTCAGATGAATTTAAACAAATATCCTGCGAATTACCACGATGAATAAAACAGAAAATAAAATAAACCCTCTTGTTTCAATTGGAATGACTGACTGCTCTGGTGTGAACAAATTGAAAATGATAATCAAATGATAACAAAAATGATGATGTTGATGATAATAATAATAAAAGAATGGAGAATGTTTATTTGAAATTTGAAAGTTTAAGTTTTCATCTCAAGTACAATTGAGTGATCATCATATAATTCATAAAGTATCTAGTACAAAGGCAACTTCTTTAAAAAAACTTTCGTTAAAAATTAATTCATAAAAGTCTATATTTTAAATTTTATGCTAATTTCCAATTTTATTCCAAAGGTCCGAGTATTTATATTAGGCCTAACCATGATTTGTAACTCGTAACAATAACATGCTTCGGTTACATCCACGTAATTTTATTTTCAAAATTTTCCATCCCAGGTAAGTTTTCTCTTATTTACTTTCTTCGTATTTGTCGATTCAATGTTTCTACAGCTATTTATTTGGTTACGGCAAGACTTTAAAGAAGTTGAAACATTCTAAAGGATGAATAATTATTTTATTTCCAAATCCAACGCGAACGGAATTCCTCTAAATTAAAAAAGTTGAGACTTTTTTAATTTTCTTCAAGTCTTCAATGGCACTTCACTTTTTGCTTCTCATGAACCTGATCTGATCGTCTGCACTCCCAAAAACGCATCGTAAACAAATTTTGATTTTTGCTCACATTCACTCTTTCACCATTTTCATTCCTTCATTTGTTTCTTCTTCCATTCAAGAGTTGATGGATGGAGCAGTTATTATACAAACTCATTAAGCAACGATTGGATGCATAATGATCTCTCGCAAGCAAGCGGGCAGGCAAGTGCACGTGTCCTCACGTAACGGTCCTTGCAAGTGCACATGTCCTGACGAGCGTTCAACTTCTGTCTGAGCAAGTCCCTTCGTTACGCAAACACCGACCTCATGGATATTGTTACGTTAATAGTTTTCTTATTTACCTTTCAAGTCTGAGGAAGATTACAAGGCAAGCAATACATTACAACACTTATAAGGTAGATACAAAGTAGATAGCTTTTTTGCGTAGGAAGCAAAGCACGAAAGAAATCGCGCGCCAGTCGGTTCGTTCAAAGATTCATGCAAATGGCATAGCAGAGGAGAAGATAAATTCTCTATATAAACTGCAACAAGTGCTGAAGATGATTGAAAAATCGAAATAGGTCCTATACACTAGAGAATAAATTGGAAAACTGTATATTATTCTAACTTCAACAGAATAAATAGTGACGACAAGAATTTGGTTAGGAATATTGAGGAATGTAATAAAAAACTATCCAACGCTAGAAATTCGGTAGATTTCATAAATTACTACATTAATTATATTCTTTTACCAGCATATATATATATATATATATATATATATATATATATATATATATATATATATATATATATATATATATATATATATATATATATATATATATATATATATATATGTAATAGACTGTCGGAAATGCAATTATTGATGGAAATCACAGCATGTTCGGCGAAAAGTGTTATATTTATATCAATATTTATCGATAATGAAAACACGTAAAAGTGTTATATTTTACGATGTTGAAAGATTGTAAAACTGAATATTCACTTAGGATAAACAAGGAACCAATAAATAGGCACAGTATAAAAATATTTGAGCATCTGGGCACATGCACAACATATCAATTTGAACACCGAAGATGGTATAGGGATAGCGAAAAAAGCTTTTCTGTTCTATCATGCATAAAACAAACAAAAATTTTGGTTTTGAACTCAAAAAACTTGAAAATGATTTACAATCAACCGTTAGAAAAATCGAAAAGTTAAATTGGAAGTTAACTAACGCCGAACATGCTGTGATTTTCATCAATAATTGTATATATATATATATATTATAATATTGTTCATTGCACATATATTCATACTTTCATATTGAGTATGTTCTTAAAACACAAGTTGCTCGTCATTTATCGTTTTTATGAAAATTTATTTGTTGTTTTTTCAGACTGTGCCTGTGTGTGTGTCTATGTGTTTGTGTGCGCGCGTGTACCTATGTGTGTGTGCGTGTGTGTACCCATGTGTATGCGTGTGTGTGCCTATGTGTGTGTGTGTGTGTGTGTGTGTGTGTGTGTGCGTGCGTGTGTGTAGTGCTCTTGTTCCTGAACGAGACACGTAAAAAAAATTTTGCATCAATGCAGATAATGTACAAAGCACATTTCTCTAATTAGTCGTTAGACTCTGTTTGTTTAGTTAGCACGTCTATGGCATTATTGTATTGTCGTTGTGGTATACATAGGCACACCAACACATCTATGTATGTTTGTGTGTGTTTGTATGTGCGTACGTGTACGTGTGTGTGTGCCCTTAACATGAATGTTTTTGTTGAGTTTCACCTACTAAAGTACATAGCATCTATCTCTTAACAATTATCACATCACATTCAATGCATTCACACGTTGCGTGGTGATGACGATGATGTTGATTGTGGTGGTGGTAGGTATAGTGGTGGTGGTGGTCTGCTGAGATGTGTGAGTGGATGTTGATTTGTCTTGCTAGTGATCACTAGTTGATGAAGAAGATACTTTTTAATTATAGTATTATTATTGCAATTTTTAATGCTAATGAACTCATATTACCATGATTACCATGATCAATTGTTGTTATTATTACTAATTATTAATTCTATTATTGTCATTACTATTGAATTCATACCACCATTATTAATTTCTTAGTTCCGAGGGCGACCCAGTCGCTTGCATTGGTGTTTTATAAATGATATTTATTATTATTATAATAATGAAATTGCTATCGTTGAGATTAAAACTCCGTAGCTACCTGAAATCAAACAGCAACGAAGAACTTAAATGTTTATGGAGCGAGTCCTATAGCAATTATATAAAAATCGACAATTTGCTTCCTGACTCAAAGGACATAAAACAGGCACTCAGCATGTTAACGATGAAACAACTAAATGCAGAACTCGAACATCTATCGCTACTCCGTTGCCAAGGGACAATTTTAAAAGTGATCAAAGACCAGATTCCCGCAGCTAGAATTGCTCACTGGTCGAAATTCACTGCAAACCTCCCAGAAGTACTGTTCAAATTTGTTAGGAGAAGTCTCATCCAACAACTCCCAACAAATGCAAATTTGTTCAGATGAGGCAAATCATCAACGGCTGACTGTCCATTGTGTAAAGCGCGGCAAACAAACAAACATGTTCTGTCTAATTGCAATTTGGTGGCAGCTCTAAAAAGATTCACAATGCGTCACAACAAAATTTTAAACATAATTATAGAAAGGTTGAAAGCATGCGCGGGTCCAGAGGTTTCGATATATGCAGATGTGGACTATGATGGGATCCCTCCAGTGTCTTGTCTCTTCAAATCCCTACGTCCTGACATCGCAATACTTCGTGACGACACAATAGAAATATTAGAGCTGACGGTCTGCCATGAATCCAACCTACTCAACTCAAAAAAATATAAAACCATCAAATACTCAGAAAATCTCAAAAATAATTTGCATGACAATTCAATACACCTGAAAATAATAGTTAATACTTTTGAAATTTCAACATTGGGCTTTTGCAATTTTTTAAATTTATCATTAATCAATAACATTTGGTCAGATCAATTTTATAATAACCTTATTAACTCTGTTATACCGTCATCTTATGCCATCTACTGTGAACGCAATAACAATTGAACTGTTCGTTTAAAACTAATCATATCTCGTTGTACTCGTTTATTTCAAATGATGAGCATCGTAGAATACTATTGTATTTAATTTAATTTAAATCAATTTATCTATTTTATTTTATTTTATTAGATTTTAATTAGACTTTTATCTCATTTTACTATATTTCATATTTTTATATAAATAAAAGAGAGTTCACATTATTATTAAGATGATGATAATGATAATGATGATGCTGATAATGATAATGATGATGATGACATT